CTGCCGCGACGCCGGGTTGGCCGACAAGCCCCGTCTGGGCCGGCACAGGGTGTGCGCCATCTTACAGTAGCACGCCACGATGACCAAGAAGGGCACGCCAAACAGAAGCACCATGACGGCCGAGCTGTAGTCCACATATTCCTCAAAGGAATCCTGGCTGGTGGTGTCATGGCACAATGTGTCATTGTCTCGCCTGGAAGTGGTGACGAACACCAAATTGGGAACCAGGCAGACGACCACCGCCGCCCACACGGCGGCGCACGCCAGGTGGGCGTGGCGGGGTTTGATCAGGCTGAGTGCCTTGATGGGGTGGCAGATACCCATGTAGCGGTGCAAGCTGATGCAGGTGAGCAACAGGATGCTGCAGTAGAGGTTGGCGTAGAAGAGGAAGCGCACTATTTTGCACGCCGCCACGCCAAAGGGCCAGTGGCTGCGGTTGGCGTAGTAGTAAATGAGCGTGGGCAGCGACAGCACATACAGGAAGTCGGAGAGCGCCAGGTGGAACATGAAGATGGCGTTGGGGTTCCACGGACGCATCTTGACAAAGGTCCACAGTGCGGTGGCGTTGAGCACCAAGCCCGCCACGAAGACCAGCGTGTAGGAGACGGGTAGCAGGATGTACTTGAACTCCTCGTCAAAGCGGCAGCTGGCGTTGAAGATAGATGTGAACGTCACAGACTGGTTGAACGCCACAGGGATGGATGCCGCCGTTGCCATGGTGACCGCTGGTCTCCCGCATCCAGTCAGGAGGTGTTGAAGGAAACATCAGAGGATGAGGAGGCCCTGAGGCACATAAATGGAAAAAATTTTCACATAAATTGGATCGCATGTTATGATAGTTAACGAAAACTAAATACTGTACAACAGTACACCGTACTACAAAATAGTGTAACTACAACTAAAAGTGAAAAAATGCGTAGTGCTTTTTAAAAAAAACGAATAGCCTAAATTACAGCTTATTAATGTAATCTGCTGATGAAACTCAAAACTCAGCGGTCACTTACTCTGAAAAGTTCCTGTCTGAAACATCGCCGAGGATTGAGTCAGGACGTTCTTAAATTGAACTGACTGTCATCGCCTGGTGCCTTTGCCACTGCAACTTTCTCCATAGGCTATATTTCTCAACTTTTTAAACCCTCATTTGAGCACATCCAACAATATTGAAACATTTATAAAATAGCTGAGATGGCCTGATTCGAGTTACAGAGAAAAAAAAAAGTCTAAAAATCGACCTGACACTCCCCATCTGCACGTCTATCAGGACGAACGAACAAATCCCACTCACGTGATTGTAAACTACTGTATAGACTGTAATCACCTGTTCCATGTTTTGTCGCCACCACACCACTAAAACCGCACGTCCATTGAACATCTATTTGGTTGCGTCAATTAAAAA